AGCAAATAACGATAACAAAAATGATATTTCTTTGGGGGTTTTTCAATCTAACACTTTTACAAAACAAATGTTGGATTTGTTCCGAAAATCTATCACAACATTCCATTCCAGTGTTTGCGCACAGTAACCTAAGAGCAGGAGACATATTGTCCCTTCACACCTAAATATGAACTAGTTTGTTTCCAGTTTTGCCACTTTAACGTTGTGGCCTGAACTGTAATATCATATTTTCCTTGAACATTTACATTGCTGCAATAGAGATTTCATCAAGTTCTTAAGTAACTCATGAAAACATGAACATGCTTGAATATCGGATTAATTGGAATGGGCTGCACTACATAATATTCCGTTCTGGATATTGTTCCCCTTTAACTGTTATGTAACTTTTATCTACCAGCATTTTTCTTTATAAATGTTTTCTGAATTACATCTCTTTCGAAATTACCAGAGCTATTAATAAAATGAAAATTTGTGGTTTTGCATAATTTGGGTCTCTTTTATCAGATTATATTAGACCTAATTCTCATTGGATGTAACTTTAACACTACTGACCGTCAAACATAATATTTCAACTCGGCCGACTACTGCAAAAATATAATGCTTTCATTGCCAGATACACTATTTGAAAATAGATATTTCCATCTTACAGTTTTATAACTTTTTAAGACTTCTGCCTTGCTAGTACCGATAGAGACATGGATGGATATCTACTAATCAAACGTTATACGCGTAGTTTTAGATTTTTTCCTCTAAAAAATTCGGGGGTGATCAGGGTTAAGATTTTGGGGACATAGGACTACACTGCCATTAAGCCGGCATATTTATATATTTGGATTGTGTGCAAACATGATATTAAAATTTCAATATTTATAATATTTGAAATTAAATTATGACGAGCGCAACTATTTCTGTATTAAAAGAATAATTGTTTGTATTAGTTTGCCATGAACAATGAAATCATACTTTTGTAACATTAAATTCATAACAATTTTACTCGGGAATTTCCGTATAGTCCTTACTAACGGAAAATACTGAAGTACTGGAGCAGTGAAAAAGTACCTTATTACGTACCATCCGAAACAAATACCGCAGTAAATCCGTATGCAACTAATAGTATCATAATTAGGGCAGATATCAAATATGTAGAAATACGTTGTTTACTGCGACTTATAAATGAGTGTTAATTTTTGCTGGGAAAAATTATTACAGTTCTATAAATACTATTGTCCAATCCTGATATATAGATCAATGAAAGCTCAAACTGCTCTGTAAGGTCATCTATTTGTCCGCCGTCCGCATCCATTGCTACTCAACTTAAAACTATTTGGTCCACACTTTAACGACAAAATCATCCATCATCTAACAATATTCTTCGTGGATTTATTTAGCAGAATGTAGGAAAATATATTAACCAATTATTAAATGGTTTCTAGAAGAAGAGGAGTAGATGTCTATCTAAATCTTGTAGATGAGGTCAAAAGGTCGCATAAAATTCCAGAATAGAATCATTAAAGTGGGTCCTCAATATATGTTTTGAGCATGACGTAAGACTATTGAATTTTAGCATCGGACCAGTCTGCAATATCTAAAGTAAATGTTCTGCTGAGAATGGCTCCAAATTATGAATTTTAGGGTCATGTGCACTTTCTGAATCTCCGAATTTCAGCTTCAATCCTACAACGTGGTTTAGCACCCTATTAGTTGATTGTTAACGTTTTAGGACAACTTTTCCAACTGACTGTGAGAAATAAATACTAAAATCATTGTAGAGAAGAACAACTTCGATGACTCTTAGAAAATATTTATTAGTTTGTAAAAGACGCCATAACGAGCTTTGTCATTGCTAGGCATATAGTTGTTTCAAATGAATGACAGACGTGAGTACCACTCTTGAGTATAGATCACGATTTATAATAAGTGATACAATATTAGTAGACACAAGAAGTCTTTTGCATCATCGCTGTTATAAACCAGCTATTAAATAAGTCTTTCATCAGGTAATCATGCAGATTAGGAATGTTTGTACCGCAACACAGGCAGATTTCAGAATGAGTGCATGATAGTCTCGACCTAAGGCTTGTGCACTGAGCATTGCTTCTGTTACGTATGTGTGATAAATATTGCTTGTGTGTTAGGTTTTACATTTCTTTTATTTCATTTTTGTTTCATTGTATTTAGTTGCAAATCTGGGATTTTGGGATTATATTTTTAGTAGTGAGATATATTTTGTAAAGATGTAATACGTGCGAATTCACATTGAGTCCGTCTTACCTTGGTAACAAATCAGCAGGAAGTTATAATGATTGGTCATCATCAAGGACATACTTTCTCCGCATGATCAATGTTGGTAAACAACCTTTTTTATGCTTGTTTTATTTAGTGGAGTGGCATTGATCTACGTGTTAATTTTAGCGTAATAAGAAACTGCATGACCTATCTCGCGAGATTTGAAATGATGTTTTGAGTGTTAATACGCATTCTTAATATTGGTTTGGACACA